TGGTAATGACATGTCTAATAAGGGACTTATATTTAGAATTTATAGAATACTCGAGGGCCACAACAAGATAAAGGTAAACAACCCAATTGTAAAATGGGCACAGGATATAAACAGATACTTCACCAAAGAAGACATTCAGATGGTGAACAAACACACGAAGAAATGTTCAAAACCCTTAGCTCTAAGAGAGATACAAATCAAAACAACTATGAGATATCATCTCACCCCAGTAACAATAGCAAAATTCAAGAGAGAAGCAAACAACAAATGCTGGTGAGATTGTGGAGAAACTGGAACACTTATTCACTGTTGGTGGGAGTGTAAAATAGTACAACCGCTGTGGAAGGCGGTATGGTGCTTTCTCAAAAAGTTGGAAACAGAAATACCATTTGACCCAGCAATTCTACTACTGGGAATATACCCTAAAGAAACCATAAATGCCACCCAAGCAGATAAATGGACACCCATGTTTATTGCTGCTTTGTTCACAATAGCGAAGAGTTGGAAACAACCCAAGGGCCCATCAACAAACAAATGGATAGAGAAGCTGCATTATACTCACACAATGGAATATTATGCAGAACTGAAAAACAAAGAACTCATGAAATATACAAAATGGGTGACCCTGGAGGACATTATGCTTAGTGAAATTTCTCACTCACAAAAAGACAAATACTGTATATTGCCCCTGTTATAATGCAAGACTGACATGGGGGTTGGGGGTAAACTAAGAAAAGAAGGGATAAATAATGTACACGGTGGCATTGAAACAGATGAGCAAGAGAACTATATAAAAGGAATATATGAGTAGATATTATTGGCATGGCAAGAGTCCAGAATAAGAGCTACATAGTTAAGTGATCTGGGGTTGGGGAGAGGGGAACTGTACAACAATGGAAGAACTTTTTTCCAGAGAAAAAAGCAATCTGGGGGTGGGGGTGGGGCAGGAAGGTAAATGTACAACAATGAAGGATTGGAAACCCAAGTTTTTTATAAACTTTCATTTAAATCTCAATTAAAAAATGACTGTAGAAAAAAAAGCAATTCAGAATGTCAGGAAATAATTGGACAATAATCATATTTGTTTGTTGTTTGGGAGCCAGGGAATGTCAAGAAAACAAATGTAGCTATGAGTTATACTCCATTTCAAATTGTGCCATGGGATCCAGAAAAAAAGGCATCTTTAGTAAAAGTAAAATAGAATAGCCATGACAAGTGGCAGACTGCTTTGGGGTTAATAAAGCTACTTTTGATTCTGACTTTTACTGTAACTTCTCTCTGTCTGTCTGTCTGTCTGTCTGTCTCTCTCTCTCTCTCTCTCTCTCTCTCTCACACACACACACACCCCATATATGATACAATGGTAGGAAAGAAAAGTACTTGAATTTTATCCTGAGCCTCTCTGAGTTTTTCTTCATCTGGAAAATAAAACAGCAGTCCAAAAAACAGTCAACAATAAAGTCATCATAAGCTGGAAATGGCCTCATGTGAATACAACTAAATTTTTGTTAATGTTTGTATTACATTTTCTACTGTAGTATGAAAGTCAGTCACTCTAAGTATAGACACTCACACTAGAACTATTGATATCTCATTACGTTTGTAGGTGGGAGGGACTGATTATTTAGACAATCTACTTAAGGCACTTTAAAGACAAGGCATTAACTGTTTGTTTTGCTTTTCTACGTCTAGAGCATACTGAAGGTACGATTGTAGTAACTCATGCTCAGAAAATCTCTTATGTTCTGAAAGCCATTTTGCACCATGAAAAGGGTCTTTAATAATCACTAACATGAATGAATGAATGTTCCCCTCCGCCCCCCCCCTTTTTGTAACTTCAATATCTATACTATCACGGACATCAGTCAGTCCTAGAAAGAGTTATTTCACAGTATTTTTCCCAAGGGAACAGACAGAGTGGGCTCCAGATTAACAGCAGCTTTTTGTTGATTTTTTTTTAATTATCTGAAATTAAAGTTGTGGCAAGAATTCCTTTTCTTTAGTTTGGACATGGTTTGGAATCTCTGAAAAGAAGCTGGTTGGTTAAAGGACACGCTGTGACCATCATACACACAACTGCTTCAGCATTGGCTTTAAAAAAAGGCTCCACTGAAAACACACACTTGAAAAACATACATTACAAATGTTCTTTTCATTGAATAGATTTTTCAGCTCAGGATTTATTTGTCTTTCATACCAAATGGTCCCAAAAGAATTTACATACGTATTTAAAGTCAATTACTGATTTTCTATTGAGCCTCCTGCCGTCCCCTCACTTAGTTGAGGACTCTCAATGTCACCTGCCAAGCTGTACATTTCCCATCAATTTATGTGGAGAATACAGAGAACAGACAGTGGCAGGAACCAACCGCTCCTCTAGGCGAATGATCCATCCTCACCAGGAACATTAGCAACCAGAAGCTCAACTCCAACCACGTTCATATTTGGGGTCTACACTGAGGAAAACAAGAGTTTCCAAACTGAATGTCCTCCCCAGACACTAAGCTCTGGTCACCTGAAGTAGTGTGATATATTCTGGGTTAATGCCACATGGATGAATGGTTCAGCAAATTCCCTAGTAGAAATTCCAGGGTTCTAAGTTCTTTCTCTTTCTAACCAAGAACCAGAGAAAGAAAATGAATGAGAAACTAACTTTGTCGAACAACTCATTATTGAAGCACTGAACTGTTACTGTTATGTGTAATTGAGTTGGAACTGACTCACACGGGAGGAGATTGCTTATCTTTCTTCCAAGAAGCAACTGTTGATTCAGACTGCTTGCATTTGGGTTAGCAGCTCAACTCCTTAATAACCACTAGGCCACCAGAGCTCTGCCTGAGTAAAACTAGGAGAAAGTGTGAGGAAGCAATTGAAACTTTCACAGCTGTAGTTCAAGACTTCCATATCAACAGTTCACACTAGAGGCTGCTTTCCCAGGACCCTTCCTTACTAGAATTGACACAGTTGTTAGCTCCTTGTGAAAGGTTTTACTGGGATTTCTTATTTATTCAATCAGAGCTGTGGTTTATTTTTACTAAGAGTAAGAAGGGCTTCCTATTGGAAGAGAACAGCCATCGTTGCAGCTTTGACAGGGAGAAAATGTACCAGTTCTCTATAAATCAAATCAACACCCTGGTCTTTAGAGATTTATCAAAAGATAATGGGGAGAAATAATGAAATCATCACTAGGAGTTACTGACAGGAGCTTGGGACATATCTCTGAACCCTGCAGGTAATTTCAAGGGGATAATAGGAAATTATTCCATGAAGTAGCAATTTTCCCTAGAAGCTAGACACAATAGAAAGCTGGCTTAAATTTATAAGTCAGTCACTACTGGGTCAATTTCAAATCACAGCTACCCCATGTGTACAGAATAAAGCTGTAATGGGAAAAGGTAATTTTCAGAAGTGGATGGTCAGGCCTTTCTTCCGCAGTGCCTCAGCTGGGCACACTAAACATTCGCACACCCACGGACTTTTAAAGGGACTAGGAAATAGGAATTACTAGTAAAGGAAGAGTCTTCTTTTGTCATTCCCCTTAAAACTCCAAATTAACTCAATAACCTTAAACCTCAACAAATTAATACTTATCAGTACAGTTAAGGAATTCATGGTAAGAGGCCTGCTCTCCCTTTCCTTTGTCTTAAAATACTATTTCTTATCATACTGTAATTATAAAGACTTCTAACAGAACAATAAGGAGCTCTGGTGGCCTAGTGGTAAGAAGATGCACTGCCAACCAAAAGGTACATGGTTTGAATCCACCAACTGCTCTGGAGGAGGAAGATGATAAATCTCCTCTTGCGCTATTTACTGTCTCAGAAAACCCGCTGGAGGGTGAGCTATGGGTCAGTTCTTACCCACTGGTCCCAAACAAGAACGATGGGGCAATAGGCTTTGGGATCTTGGGAAGCTGCCTTCTCCAGGAAGAGGATGACACTAGCAGGGCCAGAAACTTTGGTTAGGCCAGTACCAGCCCAAGCCCCAACCCACTGTGCTGCAACAGTGCTATACAGAGGGAGGCAGCTTCCCAAGAGGAGGACGTTTCATGAACAAGGTGAGGTCTTTGAAGGCCTAGATACAGGATTTGCCTTGCACACACAAAACAGCTTCCCCCCCCCCCAAAACAGAGATCTTAACTTTTTTAAAGTGTCAGGATGTCTCCGAAGCCTGCTGTAGAAATAACAATTCCCACATACAGGTTGAGAAAAGTTTACGGTCTTTAAGTTTTGTTGTCCACGTTGCTCCATCTGGTCAACCTGAATGAACCCAGACTCCAGACTCCTATCTCCATCTTCTTTCCCTTCTTCTCACCCTACCAAATTGACATAGGCATCCCCTCAGGCACTGAGTACACACGTCCAGCCACTCAGTCTCAGCACCTGGGCCAGGGCACCTCCAGGACCAGCTGTTCTCAAATAAACTTTCCTGGGGAAGGAAAGAGGGGCTAGGCTGATCAGAGCCTCCCTGGGGCCTCAGCCTTCAGCTCCATCTTGCCTTTCACCCACTAAGGTCACTAGTCCTCTTGGTCCCATATCTTTCCAGGCAGACATGTGTGGGGAAGAGTAGCAGCTATCAGTCAGGAGTTAGTTTCCTTATCGCAAAATGTTAAGAGGAGACATGCTTTCTCATGGCGCAGGTCTGTTATTCCAAGGGCAGTTTTTCCATAGCCTTCTCTTCACTGCCTTCCTGGTTCTCAAGGGCCCTTCTCAAGCTCTTTCCCCACGACTCTCCACTTAGGAACGGGAGTCTGAGGCGACCCAAACACATTTGCCTCACTTCCCACTCCCAGTGGTTGCCCTGACCTGAAAGCGACTGGAGCAGGGAGACTGAGAGATGGCAGGGGAGCCCCTGGGGGCTGACACCCCGTTCTCCATCTCCGACGCTCTGCCCTACAGGAGGCTGCCAGACACTTGAGCTCAGGGACTTGCCCGTTGCCCCTAGGGCACAGACATCACCCATCGCCGCTGCAGCCCAACACCCCGAGCTGGGCACCTCACCTCGCGCAGCAGACGCTCCAGGTGTGGCTCGGCCCAGGCGGCCAAGGCTCCAGGTGGACTCGCACGATGCAGCAGCTCCCGCTCCTCCTCGAGCAGCGCCACCCGGTCCTGCAGCGCGGCAGCCTGAGTACCCAGCAGCAGGCAGGCGACCGCCGAGCTCACGGAAAGCAGCAGGCACAGTAAGCTCACTACTCGGGCCCCGACCGCTGGCGCGGGACACCCTCCACTGTGGCTGCCCTCAGGGCCGCTGGGTTTTGAGTCGCTGTCGCTGCTGTGCTCACTCGAGTCCATGGCGCGTGGGCTTTGCGTCGGGGTGGTGTAGAGCTGGGTCCACAGGCTGTGCGCTCGGCCAGCGGGTGTGCGCGCCTGAGGCACTAGGGTGGGCGGGCGCTGGGTTCAGCCTTCGGGCAGCAGCAGCTGAACGCGGCGCACACCCCCTTCTCCACAGCCAGCTCTTCTGCTGCGGCCACTTTGGGCAGTTTCCTCTATGCAAATAGACCCTACCAGAAAAGGAGCCAGGACCCACCCAGGGGAGGAGCGGCCCGCCTGGCCCTGCAAGGCGAGGGGGCAGAGGAGGGAAGAGAACTGCTCCTCTAGTCGCCCACTGAAGTCTGGGACCCCATGTGCAGCGCACACCTCTGCCATCATCTGCCCTGGGTAGGAGACTGCACCCTCTGTGCGCACCTCGGAATCTTGTGGTGGAGTTCCCGCTGTGACACCTCCCAGAGGCGTTAAGATGGGCCTGAGGATTCAGGGCAGCCCATGCCAGGCTGGCGCACCTTTTGTGCCTCTTGGGCGCATTCTCTCAAACTTGTGAATTAGTTTTCTGACACTTTTAATAAACAGTTCAAAACTTCAAAGATTGCAAAAAACAAACAAACAATAAACCAAAAAAAAAAAAACCCCCACAAACCCAAAACACCCCTTAGTGGTTCTGTGCTAGATGGTGGCTTAGCGCCGCTTGGTGGTGGAAAGAGATTTCTGCGCAAGCAGAAAGGTGTCTTCGCATCTTAGTTCTTTCACTGTTTATGATGATGTGCCAGAAACGGTGCAGGAGGCAGAAATCTAAAGCATTGTTCCTGACCTAGAAAAGGCTTTTCTTTAAGAAACTAAGATTACAACAAGCTCAAAAGAGGGGGAAAGAAACTCGCATTTTTGTTGAGTTTAATTCTGTAATAGAAAACAATTAGGCAAACAACGCTCTGGTATGCAAGACATGTAATAAATAGTTGCTGGGTAGCACAGCTAATAGATCTTGTGATCTGCTTGGAGCACAGATGGTGTCACCAAGAGTCTGCGTTCACTGGATGACAGTTAACACACTGCATTTGACCCAAGCTTAGAGTTTGCTCCATATTTAAAGCATTAATAGCAACGAGTTGGAAACAACCTAAGGGCCCATCAACAAATGAATGGATAGAGAAACTGTGGTATATTCACACAATGGAATACTATGCTGAATTGAAAAACAAGTAACTCATGAAATACTATTCAAAATAGGTGACCCTGGAGGACATTACGCTGAGTGAAATATCTCAGTCACAAAAGGACAAATACCGTATAGTGCTACTGCTATAAAACAGGACTGACATCAAGGTTGGGGGGAGACTAAGAAAGAGGGGATAAATAATGTATACTGCATTGAAATAGATGAGGGAGAAAACTGTTTAAAAGGGATATGTGATTAGGTATTTTTGTCATGATGGGAGTCCACAATGAAGGCTGCACAGTGGAGTGGACCTGGGGGGAGGGATTGTAAACAATGAAATCATTTTTCTTTTACTTTTCAAACAGAGGAGTGAACTGGGGGCGGGGGAGTGTTGTGCAGGGGAAAAGTGCAACAATGAATGAATGGAAATCCAAAGTCTCTGTAAATTTTCATTAAAATTAATAATAAAAAATTGAGAAGAAAAAATTTAAAGCATTAAAGTTGAATGTTCTCTTAGTGCACAGCTGGGGTCCAGTGGCTCTAACAGTGTTCGGGGAGCGGGGGCGGAGAAAAGAAGGGAAAGACTGAAAGTCAGGTTCATATCTTAAAAATGGGTGTCACTAGTTCCTTCCACAGATTCCTTTAATAACCAAATAGAAATAATTTCCCATTTTATCCCAAAGGGCCTTCACCCTGTGACTCATTCAGAAGGATTAATTAAAGATCAGGATTTTTATCAGTCTCAAATTATCTTTTGATTAACTGTACCTGTTTGTCTCATCCACCACTGCTGTTCCTCAAATAATAGAACACTACCTAGATAATAGTTGGTGCTAAATAAATATGTGTTAAGTAAATTAAGGAAAGTGAAAGTAACTAATTTTAAAAATAAGTAAAATAATGTACTACCTGTGTCCATTGGAGTCCTGGAAAGGCAAGAGATGCTATTTTCAGAAAAGGTGACTATCAAAACAACTATGAACTATCATCTCACCCCAGTAACATAGCAAAATTCAACAAAGCAGCAAACAACAAATGTTTGCAAGGTTGTGGAAAAACTGGAACCCTTATTCACTGTTGATGGGAGTGTAAAATGGTGCAACCACTATGGAAGGCAGTATGGCGCTTTCTCAAAAAGTTGGAAACAGAAATACCATTTGACCCAGCAATTCCACTACTGGGAATATACCCTAAAGAAACCAGAACTGCCACGCAAGTAGATACATGCTAACCCATGTTTATCACAGCTTTGTTCACAATAGCAAAAAGTTAGAAACAACCCAAGTGCCCATCAACAAACAAACAGGTAAAGAAACTGTGGTATGTTCACACAATGGAATATTATGCTGCATTGAAAAACAAGGAACTCATGAAATATCATACAAAATGGGTGACCCTAGAGGGCAGTATGTTGAGTGAAATATCTCAACAAAAGAGGACAAATACTGCTTAGTGCCAGTGTTGTAAAATGGGACTGACATCAGGGTTGGGGGAACTTAAGAAAAGAGGGGATAAATAATGTATACTGCATTGAAACAGATAAGGGAGAGAACTGTTTAAAAGGAATATATTAATAATAATATAATTAGGTATTATTTTCATGACAAGACTCCAGAATAAGCTGCATAGTAAAGTGGACTTGGGAGAGAGGATTGTATAACAATGAAATAATTTTTTTTTTCTTCAAAGAAAAAAGAGAACTGGGGGGGAGGGGTGAATAGGGAGGAAAGTGTGCAACAATGTAGGAATGGAACTTCAAGTCTTTGTAAACTTATTAAAATTTAAAGAAAAGTGACTAAAGGCGTCTGAACGTATGGATTCTTTATGATGTAGGGAGGTGAAGGAAAAGCAACAAGAACTGCTAAAGAAGCATTCTCAAGGGCAGCAGTAGTGAGCTGAAGGGGCAAAGGGAAGGAACTATTGTGAAATACCAAAAAATGTATTCAAAGAAGACTCTCTAACAGGAGCATTCACCTTTAATAAAGGGACACAGCCTCTGCTGTGGAGGCCTGCTGGGGCCTCCAAATGATCAAACCTACTGAGTCCAGTTGATGTAGGACAATAAGGGACCGCTTCCTGAGGGCTAATATCAAAGCCAGAAAGATGAGTGGAACAGACAGATGTATAGAATCAAAGAAAGGAAGAAGGCAGGAATACCCAATACATTACACACGATAAAAATTCATTGTCATTAAGTAGGATTCTGAGGCTGCCAACCACATGGAAAAAGATAGCCCATTTTCTCCCTTTGAGCTTCTCATGGATTTGAACCACATAAGAGATGTCTTTGGGTCAGCAGAATAGCTCCTTACAGGCTAGGCCGACTAATTGCTGTCTGGTCAGTTCTTATGTGTGTCACAGTAGAACTGCTGGGCTTCATAGAGTTTTCAAGGATGATTTTTGGAAGTAAATCACTAGATGTATCTCTTGAGGCCTCTGTGGGTGAACTTGAGCCACTAACCTGCTAATTAACAGTTTGAGTGTGTTAGTTTGTTCTACCCAGAAACTTCATATAGCATTTACCAAAGATATTTTCAATTGCGTCATATGCCTGTGAAAATTGGAAAATGAATAAGGAAGGCTGAAGAAAATCTGATGCCTTTGAATTGTAGTGTTGACCAAGAGGTTTGAACAAACCATGGACAAAAGAACCAATAAATTTGCCTTAGAGGAAATGCAAGTAGGGTGCTCCCTAGAGGTGAGAATGATGAAACTTAATCTTATAGACTTTGGGCATGATGTCAGGAAGAGCTGTAGGTGTTGTTGATTGCCTTCGAGCCGAGCATGTTTCATAGAGACCCTATGAGCAAAAGGCGTGAAGCCCCACTACAACTATAGACATTTATCAAAGTTCATAGAGTTTCTGAAGGGATATTGTTTAGAAGTGTTGCTGTTATTGTTGTTGTTATGTGCCTTTGAGTTGCTTGCGACTCATAGCGACCCTATGTACAACAGCCCTAAACTCTGCTCTGTCCTGTGCCATTCGCACTGTCTCCAACACACCTACCTCCATTACCCCAGTAACTGAATCAATCCACCTCATAGAGGGCCTTCTAGACCTGTGTTGTCCATCCACCCTAACAAGCATGATGTCCCTCTCCAAGGACTGGTCCCTCCTTACAACATGTCCAAAGTATGTTAGAGCCTAAGAATCCTTGCCTCCAGGGAGCCGCCTGGTTTAACCCTTTCCAGGATGAACCTGTTTGTTTTCCAAGCAGTCCATGGTACTCTCAATACTTTTCTCCAGCACCACAGCTCAAAGGCATCAATTCTCCTTCTATCCTCCTTAGTCATTGTCCAACTCTCTGATGTACAGCTTTCTGATGCATAGCAGTAATTGCAAAGTCTGTGGCATGGATCAAGTGCACCTTAGTCACCAGACTGACATAGTTACTCTTCAATATTCTGGAGAGGTCCCTAACAGCTGACTTTCCAAATGCAATTCATCTTTTAATTCCCGGCTGCTGGTACCAAGAGTGTTGATTGTGGAGGCACACCAACTGAAGCTTTTAACAATCTCACTCTCTTCAACATCTATCATGATGTTGCCAATCAGGCCAGTGGTGAGAATCTTTGTTTTGTTGATTTTGAACTTCAATCCATATTTAAGGCTAGTTATTGTTATCACTCAGGAAATCCACTAGTTATCTGTCACTAATCAACTATAATAGCGTTCTTCCATCTTGGAAGAATAGCAGTTTGTCCCTTACAGAGATAGAAATCTATCTCAGGTACAGATTTCTCTTTTCTGCAGAGCCTCAGCTAGCACCACTGTCTCCATAGAATGCCCCATTCATAGCCTAGCAGTGAACCGGGGCACCACTTTTACAACAAATGAGCTAATCCACAATAAGTACTGCAG